GACTGAAGGCGAGYTCTAATTAAACATCCCACTTTAATTAGTCAGGCATCACGTGCAGGGAGCTGGCCTCAAGATTCCCAGGCCGCAGGTCCTGTGCTTTAATTAAAAGGAAAATTCACGTGAATTCAGCTCCAGGAGCCCCTCACCCTTGGGATGGCAGAGGCAGAGCAGTGCCTTTCCCTGCCCTGGGGTTCCTCTGCTTCTTCCATGGTGGAAAAACGGGCTGGGAGATGGTTGGATGGAAGGAGAGAAGAAGCAGGGGCTGGTTGTGATGTCTGGGGTGTCAGAGCAGCTCCTGGTGATGCTTTAGGATTTTTAGTTTCTATATTTTCATGTATCTGTGTTCTCATCATTCTCCAGTGCACAGCACTAAAGCTGCTGCTCTCCCACCTTTAGATAAACAATTCCTCTCTGAGCCTGAAATCCAAGGACACTTCACTGCCTCAGAGCCCCAAAATATGAAAACAACAGAGAATTATGGGGAGCAAGCTTGGGGTGGGTGACAGGATCACCTGAAGGTGGAATTGGAGAATTGGGGCTCGATTGGGTTCTTGTTTTGATGTCCTACACAGGACGAGTTCCCATTTTCCAGGCTGGCAATAATCTGATTTTTTCCCTGAGAAACACCACATTCTCTTCCAGCCATCTCAGCCTTGCTGCCTTTCTGACTGGGAGTTTTGAGCTTAAATGAGCCTGAATTCCTACTGGAAATAATTTCAGTCTAAATGCCCTTTCCTGTCAGTTCTGACTTCTTATAAAAGGTGAAGATCTCGTGACTCGGGGTCCATTTTGGGTGTATCCTCATGAGGAGGCTTTGTCTGCCCTCAGTGCACCAGTAGGCCCGGATTAAATTTCTCTGCTTTATCATCTATGTCTGCCCTCTGTTTCAGGTGAGCATTGTTTTAGGCCTCACTGGGCTCTTGATGTGATGCCGAGAGCTCTTTTTGGGGCGATTTCTGCTGAGTTTGGTGAGATTTCTGCTGGTTGGCAGCAGAACGTGAGCCCAGGAGGCCAAGAAGGCCCAGGGCAGTGACTGTCCCCATGTTGGGTGTGCTGAGGCCACCTCAGATCCTGGGGACAATTTTGGGCCCTCAAAAGAGAGACTTTGAGGGGTTGGGATGGGAACAGAGCTGGGAAGGGGCTGGAGAATCCTGAGGGAGCTGGGAAAGGGCTGAGCCTGGAGAAAATGGGGATCGGGGGGGATTTGGGGCTCTGCATAATTCCCTGACAGGAGGAGGGGTCGGGCTCTGCTCCCAGGAACAGGGACAGGAGGAGAGGGAGGTTTAAAAATAGGATTTTAGGGAAAATGCCTTCCTGGAAAGGGTTGTCCAGTGCTGGAGTTCCTATCTCTGGAGGGATTTAAAGCCGTGTGGATGTGATACTTGGGGACATGGCCAGTGCTGGCCTTGGCAGTGCTGGGGACAGTTGGGCTCTGAGATCTCTTTTCAGACTTCAACAATTTGTGATTTTCCTATCCTGCCTGGTGCCAGAGCCCATGAGTGAGCTGGGTTGGAAACGGGAGCAGCTCTCTCAGCCCTGCTGTTTCAGCACAGGGAACTCGAGGTTTTTCCCAGATGGAGCTGTCACATCCCTCCAGCCCCCGAAAAAATCAGCCTGAGCTCCATCGCTGGCAGCTGGGTTATGCAGGAGCATTTCTGACGGTGCAGAGTTAAAATGCTGCTTTTCTCTGCACCCTGGAGCCTGCTCAGCCYTCCTGAGYCCTTGGCTGCTCATCCCTGGGAYSRGGAGGGAATCRGGGACAGRAATGYCCTCCTGAGCCCTCTGCTCATCTCTGGGTCATKGAGGGAATCAGGGAATGACAAAAATGCTCTCCTGAGCCCTCTGCTCCCATTCCCGGGACCAGCAGGGAATCAGGGAATGACAGAAATGTCACACAGGGAACACAGGGAGTGTGTCACACAGGGAGTGGCAGAAATGCCCTCCTGAGCCCTCTGCTCTCATCTCTGGGACCAGGAGGGAGTCAGGAGTGACAGAAATGTCCTCTGCAGCCACTGCTCTCATCTCTGGGACCAGGAGGGAATCAGGGAGGGACAGAAATGCCTTCCTGTACCCACTGGGACACACAGGGAACCATGGAGTGGCAGAAATGTCCTTCTGCACCCACTGTTCTCATCCCTGGGACATGGAGAGAATCAGAGAGGGACAGAAATGCCCTCCTGTACCCACTGCTCTCATCCCTTGGACAAGAGGGAGTTAGGAGTGACAGAAATGCCCTCTGCACCCACTGCTTTCATCTCTGGGACCAGGATGGAGTCAGGAGTGACTGAAATGCCCTCCTGAGCCCTCTGCTCATCCCTGGGACATGGAGAGAATCAGAGAGAGACAGAAATGCCCTCCTGAGCCTTCAGCTGCTCATCACCGGGATGGGGAGGGAATCAGGGAATGACAGAAATGCTTTCTTGTACCCACTGCTCTCATCTTTGGGACATGGAGGGACTCAGGAGTGACAGAAATGCTTTCCTGTACCCACTGCTCTCATCTTTGGGACATGGAGGGAATCATAGAGGGACAGAAATGCCCTCCTGCACCCACTGCTCCCATCTCTGGGAGATGGAGGGACTCAGGAGTGACAGAAGCGCCTTTGTCACCCGCCTGGGAAGGAGGAGGGCTGCGGAGCGATTATCGAGCACAAAGGGGGACAGATTCCCTCCTGAGTGCTCTGGGGACAGGGATTTAAGGGCTCAGCTCCCGTTAATGCTGATGGCGATCACTGAGGTCTCCTCTCGCTGCCTTGGAATGGGAGAAAAGAGAGCGGCTTTGAGCAAAAGAACAAATTCCCTCGATTTTAAGGCACCGATAAATGGGATTTTCCTTCATTTCACGCTCGTTAATTCCCCTGCCTGCGCTGATTGAGGGTTGGGCTCAGCCCCACAGGAGCTGCCTGACCCCAAAAAGCCACAATGAGTTTCGTGGTCACCTGGAGATGCAAAATGCAGCATTCCGGGTTTGGCAGGGAGGGGAAATCCTTTAGCAGGTGTCAGAAATAATCACAGTTTTTATTTCCTGGGGAGGATTCCAGGGTCTAAAGGGGCTCYAGGAGCARCAGGGACAGCCGGGGAGGTGGCTGTTCCAAAGGGAATCRGGGATTATTGCCAGAAAACACATCCAGGAGTGTGGTGAGAGAGAGCCTCAGCACGAGGGGGACCCATCCTGGAGATGGGAAAGGATTTCCTGCTGATGGGAAAACAAATCTTTGAGTTCCTGTGGTACCCAGACATAGGAACAGGCCTTCAAATTATAAGAAAATGACRTTTTCCAGGCTGAAAATGGCATTTTGCTGGCACTGGGGCATCACAAACATCTGGAGCAAAGGGAAGGGCTGGGCTGAGCAAGGCCACAGGGAGGAATGCTCTGGGGTGATGATCCTATACAAAGGAAAAGGCCTTAAAATTATGGGAAAATTAACATTTTCCAGGCTGGAAAATGCCCCTCATGACTCACTGGCACTGGGGCATTGAGAACACCCAGAGCTTAGCAGTGAGACCACAGGGGTGATGATCCCATACAGAGGAACAGCCCTTAAAATTATGGGAAAATTAACATTTTCCAGATTGGATGATGCCCCTCATTGGGACTGGGRCATTGAGAACACTCAGAGCTGAGCAGTGAGGCCACAGCAAGGGATGCTCTGGGTCTTTGTCCATCTTTTTCTGGAGCTTTCAGGAGAGTCTGGGGGTGCCTAGGGTGAAGGAACTTCCACAAATACCCAAAGGCACCACAGAGCTCTTATTAAATTTTAAACCCGCTCTTAAAAAGCTTTCCCATTAGAAAAACCTCAAAGAATTATGTCGATCTAAAGATCCCCTTTATGAAATTCCTGTTAATGGGGGAAAAAAAAGCCTTCTAGAGACTTTAAAGGAAAAAAAAAATAAATAAACGAACCCAACATGCTGCAGTTTTAATGAGGAGCTTGTAAACATAACCAACCCCTGGTGATTTTTTCCCATTAATTGGCCAAAACAGCTCTCAGCAGAGCACCTTGCTGGGTTTGGGGCATTTCCCCAAATCCAGGGGGCTGTGGAAGAAGGAGCAGCAGRGCTGGGCTGTCCCTGCAGGCTCTGACCTTGGCAGGGGAGGGAGGAGGGCTGGGGGATCTGTARAGCTGATTTAGCAATTCCATCTTTCTCAGCGATGCATTTGCTGATTAGCTCCATGCCCTAACGAGGATAAATCACCAAGGAAAGGCAGGAGCCACTCGGGGAGATGAGCATCCCCTGGGAGCAGCAGCGAGGTCATTTTCTGGGCCATTGTTTCTGGGTTAAAGGGTTGCCAGCCCGGTGACCACGTCCTAATCCCATGAGGGGTGGGCACAGCGATTTTTTGGGGTTTGGGGACATCATTCCCAGCTCCGTTCTGTGTGTGCCACAAGGAAAGCTCACCCCTCAAATCCACGGGGTGTTTGCAGCCCACAAAAGAGGTAAAACCTCTCCCAGAGGAAAATCCTTCAGGGTGATTTTCCCAGCCCTTGGGATAATCACTCCTGCTGGAATCAGTTGGGAAAGTGCCATGAAAACGAAGGAGAATTTGGTGATCATAATGATGGTTATTACCCCGTTCTGCTGCTCAGCCCAGGGCTGGCTGGAGTGGGGTGTTCCCACTCCAAAAGGAGCAGGAGCAGTCAGGATTTGCAGGAAAACCCCTTTACCTTCCCTTTTGGGAGGGTGTAGGTGATTTTCAGATTCGGGTGGGCCTGGCCTGTGCTCCCAGCAGCCATGGGTCAGACCCTGCAGAATTTTTGGTGATTCCCTGGAGCCCAGGGATCATGGAGAGGGAGCAAACACCTGTGGAGGGGGTGGACACTGAATATATGCTTCCCAAAGCCAGGGAATACATGATCTGAACCTTCCTTTTCCTCTCCTTTCACTCTGGCAGACCTTGGTGGGTGCTGAACGCAATTCCCAGCCCAAATCCCACACTTTTCCAGCACGATGGATGCATCCTGGACATGGAACTGACCTTTCTCTTTATTTTCCCTGCAGAGCCAGCTCTCCCAGGCCCTGAATGGTTTGTCAGACAGAGCCAAGGAGGCCAAGGAATTCCTGGTGCAGCTCCGTAACATGGTGCAGCAGATCCAGGTATGGCAGCTCCCAACTGGGAAACGGCCCATTCCCACCAGGATGTGCCACCCTCTGTCCCTTCTCCCAGGGCTGCTTTGGAGGGTGCTCAGTTTCCAAATTTCCCCCTGAATCCTCCCCAAAACTGCTGCCCCAGTGGCGTGGAGGGAGCAGCAGAGTCCTCACCTCTTTCCATGAGTGGATCCAAACCTGTTCCTGACCCACCACTGCCACATTTTCCACAATCTGAGGCTGGCAGTGTCCTCCCTTGTGCTGCTGTGGGTCCCTGTGACACCCTGATGGGCCAATTTCAATAATGACACGGACACAGTTAGGGGATAAAGGGTTTTACCTCGGGATTTTATGGGATTTCAGGTGCACAGCTCGACAGAGTGGAAGAAACKCCGGAAAATGTTACCCCCRTACAGCACAGATACAAATTTTATAGATTTCACAAATCAGCAAATCTATCTAAGATTCCCCAATAAAAAACTTAACAAATGAACTAATACCCCCCTTATTCTAAAGAAWCCCTCCAGAATGAGGTTAGAGCAYAGTTTACACCAAATGTTCCAGAGRGAAGGCTCCATCCTCRAGGTTTGAGACAGCACARGGCATGCTGACCCCTCACTGGGGATGTTTGGCCTCTCTGCCCCCCAAACTCAGCTGGAATATCAGGCTACAGGGATTTCAGCATGTAAGGAATACATAAAGGGTACAGAAAATGTCTATAAAATAT